GTCGGTGCTGCCCATGCTGCTCGCGTTGTCCTCGACGGAGGCAGCACCGGGGTTGTCAACACTCCTGCTGCTGCCGCTTGATGGATCGCTGCACCGATCTGCCGCGGCCACCAGAGCGGACTTGCACCGCCCCAATTCCGTCTCCGCGTCACGCCGCCTATTCTTCTCGCTGGTCAGGAGAGAGGCCTGCTGGGTGAGGGCCGCTGACAGGCGCTCCACCTCGCGGCAGACTTCGGTCAGGGAGGCCCTCGCTTCTTCGAGCTCCGCCTGCAGGACGCTGTTCGCTTGCAGCAGCTCCTGCTGCTCTTGGCAGAGCGCGGCGATCTCCTCCTTGTCCAGCACGCTCTCCTGCTCCAGCACCCTGTTGAGGGAACGAGCCTCCAAGAGCTCCAGCGATGCCTGGCGGTGCTGCCGCTGCCGGTGCTGCCGCCGCTGCCCACGCTCCCGCTCCCGCTCCCGCTCCCGCTCCCGCTCCCGCTGGAAGGAACCATTGCCCCGTCTGCCCTGGCTGGGAAGGGACGGCTGGTGCTGCTGCCTCCTGCTATTGGTGCTTCTCGGTGGGGCAGGTTCATCATGATGATTGGTTTGTGACCACGGCGTTTGCCAGGCAGTGATGGGAGTCCCCGACGCCGGCGATCGGGGAGAATCCATCCTGCTGGAGGGAGGGAGAGGGGGATACGCTCGATCTCTCAGGCAACAGCAGGAGGGGGAAGAGAAACAACGGGGGGCGATGGTGCGTGAGGCGGGCTGGAAGCTGTAAATCTACATCATAAAATTCCAACTCTTGCACACCGCCACGGAACCCAAATGTATGCGTGTGTGGTTGCGCATAATCAGAACAGATGAATATTTCGACGAAAAGAGCTTCCGACCCGAAGTTGCGCGCCGGGGACGCACCGCTTGCCGTAGAGCCTGCTGCGAGGAACACACCAGGGTGGGACGCACACGGCTGGCTACAGCAGTCAGCTGGGGGTACTCCGCGCCGTTGCTGATTCTCTCGCGAATCGTTGCTCTAACAAGTCAGTCGCAAATTTTTCTGCCTCCTGCGCTTGCAGCAAGCGGCGGCTTGCTCGCTTCCTATGTTTGGCCGCTGCTGTGGAAGACCCATTAATCTCGTTCGATCTATTCGCGGATTCGGCGGGGTGTGGTTGGCCCAATCCGGATCTTGAAGATTCGTTGAAGGTTGTTCACCGCTAGAGGCAGATTTCGGGCGGGTGCGCTGGGCAGATGTCGTGCTGTGACTTGAGCCTTGGTGGCAACCAAGAGGCTTGCGCGGGTCCAGGTAATGTAGTTGGTTGGCGAGGGACTTTGAGTCTGTGCTCACGTGTGCTCACGAGTGTTGAGAGCAACAGCCTGGCCCGTACCAAAGTGAATTGAAGTTCAACCTGTGACATCATCTACGAGATTTTTTACCCGAAAAAAAAATATATATATAACTCAATCGCCGCTCCTCCGTCGAGATATAGCGGATCATCTCCTGCAATACTAATCTCCAAATTGTGAGATACGTACAACAGCAGTGTATGTATGCATCTCACAACGGTATGGCTCGACTGGAGACCGCACCTATGATACATACGCACGCGCCGAGCTTCTCAGATGTGGCTCCACAGCAGTTCTGCTGACAGGAGACCGCGCATACGAACGCCCGCGTACGTTTTCACTTTTTCGAACACATCTCCTCCACACCCACCCGCCCGCCACACACACATGGTAGCTCTGGTCACCGAACTTAGTGCTCGGCGGTGTCGGATGGGGAGTAGACTATATTAGGAGGACCAATCTACGAAGATTTGTTTGTTGTTGTTGTTGTTGTTTCTCACATTAGCTCTAAAAAAAAAAAATTGGGAGCCCGTGGTCTCAAAACCCGGCATACACGACCCCACGAAGAAACAGAAAAAAATAGGGTACAAAAACCACTCGGAAGAGAAACAAAATGATAGAAAGAAAGACCAGCTACCGCACCAAACGAGAAAGAGCGTCGAGGAGACCGATCAAAATAAAATAAAAGGAGAACGGGGAACGCTTCCCACACCCGCCTACATTTGTGTACCTTGACGGCTGGAGTTGACGGCTGTTGACTGCTGCTGTGTTACGCAACTACTTCTGTACAGCAGTGTAGTGCACCACTACAACAGCAGTGAAGACTGCACTCAAACCTCGTGCAGTAGCAGTGTCCCTCCTGCTGCTGCTGTGTTGTTAACAGTAAGACTTTATTTCATCCCGTCTGACTCCAGTGGCGCGGATTCTTGTCTGTGCTGGCTTGCAATATTGTATTCTGTGTGTACTTATTATCGCTTCTTTTTTTTTTGGTCTTCACTTCAAATCAGCGCTCACAGCACTGGTGCCGTTTACTCCAACCCGTGGTGACACAGAAGAGCCCCGCTCTACCCTCCCCCCTCTGTGTACACACGAACTAGCGCTATCTACTATTTAGGCCAGGAGCGGAAGAGAGAGAAAAACCCACTTTGCAAGAAAAGCTCGCACGCCGGGATTCGAACCCCTGACCTGACCTCGAGAAGGTTTCGGGGGGTTAAACAATTATTATAATAGACCACCGGGGCGACCGGTTCATGATATGAGTTCAAATGTCGCCGAGATATTTTTTGTAACCGTTTTTAAAAAAGTTTCTCTTCCGGCCTCCGGGCGCGCGGGTCTCGGTGTTGTTTGTGCTGGTTGTGTTGCTGCGTTGTGTGTTGGCGTGTCCATGTGCAAAGGACAACCGTCTGGTGTTCCACCGCGCTGCGCTTCGTTGTACGGCAGTGTGTATTAGCTGATGATATCTGTTGCCGCAGACAAAATCTCCACAGGAGACTCACAGGACGAAACTCTAAACGAGGGTCGTTCCGCATGGTCAACCTGCGGCGACTACGGCTACAACAACTGGTGTTATGAGCACCTGGCACCCCGAGCGGATCTTAGCCGCCAAACCAAGACGCAAGTGGATTGCTGCAAGGTACGTCCCAGCGTTGACTAGATTGCAATAGTGCAGAAACTCGTGCTGCATGTGCTGCAACGTGCGATGAGGCGTTTGATGATACATTCCCTAAAAGACACAAGATAACACACTCCCTGAACCGATTTTCAAATCTCGATTTCTCAATGACAGAAAGAGCCACAGCGCCGAAAACGGTGGCGTTGAGGCTGTTTATTCGAGAGCTTCCCGAATATTTACTGGTCCATCAATGCATCCTCTTGGTCATGGCGTAATCGAGCTTTGAAAATTGGTCCAGGGGGTGTGTTATCTTGTGTCGAACAGTGGGGGCCCCGGTTTAGTGACCCCTAGTGTCACGACGAAATATGGTCGCTATTCAGTCAGGGCATGTCGCCAAACCCGGTTTAGCGACCGCTAAACCGAGAGCCTCACTAGCGACTAGCGGTCGCTAAACCAGGAAAAAACGCCATTTCGTGAGACTAACGCTCGTGTTGCAGAAATCTTCTTCACCGGGTTGTGTGGTCTACGCGTCGTATTGCAGCAGTCACATGAAGGTAGAGGAAAGTACCTTAGGGTGGACAACCGGGAAATATAGTCTAGCTCCTACATAGACGGTATGCACTTTAATCAACCAGCAAGCTTGTTCTAGCCTCCGAACTTTGTAGGAAACGTCTAAACAACAAGTATACGGAGGGTGCCCTCTGCCTTTTTTGTTCCCGCATGCTGAAGAAGCTGTCCCTGCTCGTCGACCAACACAAGAAGCACGTATTTAGAAGTCCCACCTTTGAAATAGTAAACAAAACAGGGGGGGAAGGGGGAAAAGTCATGGCAACATCCCCCAAAAAACAAAAACAAAAATGCCCCTACAAGTAGTCTAGACTACATGACGCGGAGAAAGTTCGTGAACGCCCAAGCGGCAAATCACCTCGCGCTGATAGTGACTTCATCCTGGCACTGTCGCGCGTACCGATCATGTTTAACAAGAACATATCATCTCTGATGTCTGTTGCGTTGGTTTCGCGAAGTGTGCTTCGGTGAACAGCATCTCTGCCTTGCGAAGATGGTACGCTGCCTCGCTTAACCCACACGACTCCGCGCACTCTTGTAGCGACCCAAAATGCAACGAAAGCTCCGAGTAGGGCGGCGGCGCCCGCACGTCCCCACCCCCCGCACCGCCAACTTCTCCCGGCCCATCTACCTCTATCTCTCTTTGCGTTGGGTGGATTCGAGACGAGTGGGGAACCCTCATGTTCTTGGATGCACACTCGTGGCAGGTGCGGTGCATCTCGATGCCATCGAGAACCTCCACCTCCCACACATCCGGTGCAGGCGTCCACCGCAGCCAACATGGCAAACATGCCCCTGGGGTGCTCGCAGTTCCACGTCCGGTTGCTTGCACAACTCTCCATCGGCGCACGGCATGTTGCGTGTTTGTACGTGTCCCGCGGTGTTGTGTCTTTGTGTATGGAGGAACGCGGGTTCTCCGCAAAAATTGAATCGATGGTCGCTATTGCCCGCTGGAACCAGCCCAATAAGTCGCTATTGAGGGCTCGACCGGTTTAGCGACCACGGTCGCTAAACCGGGGTGCAGCGGTGTCACGAGATTTGGGGTCGCTAAACAGGGCATGTCGCCAAACAGGGGGTCGCTAATCGGGCCTCCCACTGTATACGGTACTGAACTTGCAGTGAGCAACTGACCGTGTGTGTTGTATTACGTGCAACAGAGTGTACCCTGTAGTACAGCAGTTCATATCCGTGGTCTACAAATTCTACTGCTGCTGCTGTGTGTAGACTAGTCTACTGTAGAGCACACGTTACTAGACAATGGTCTGCTGCTGTACTACAGTACAGTACCTAAGTAAGCATGTGGGATTTACGAGTCCCAAAGTGTGAGGATCACCATCGAGCTACAGTACCCCAAGCCGGTCTCTCATGTTTTCCTCGCGCCTCTCCTGTCTTTTCTTACAGCAGTACCCCATACCGCACCCGCAGGCCCGGCCGAGTGAGCGGCCGATCACGATCCTCGGGAGGTCCACCGCCTTGAAAAACAACGCTTACACGCGCGATGCAACCGAGCCCGTCGCCGATTCCCATCTATGTCGGCGACGGCTGTGGTCAGGCGAGCTATAAAATGTTCTGGGACGGAGACCCTAGCAGGCAGTCGTTCATCAGTGTTGTGGGACTGTCATCACCTCAGGTCTCTCCATCGAGACCACGGCCTCTGTCGGCGCCCGCGCGAGGCGCATATCTCTCTACCTTTCACTCACCAAGACAAAAATACCTATCCCAGTGGTCAGTTGGAGGCTTCGAGGTCGGCAGCGAGCAGCCAATTCGTTCGAGCTCGAAACAGCATGCGTATGTGGCAAGAGAAAGGTCCCCCCGCTCCACGCACCAAGAAGAGAATGGCCTTGGCGTTGAGAGGGTGCCGGTGCTTGAACGAATGCGGGAGAATACTTGCATGAGAGACGCCAAGCTAAGCATAGGGGACCGGAAGAGGCTGGAGCGTCTGGGGCAGGCCCAGAGGCGAAACCTCGAGTTGATAGCTGCACTCCAGACGGCTAAAGCGAGGGCCGAGAAGAAGGCTAGGAAGGCTCAAGACAAGGTCAATACTCTACAGGTATGTTGACGTCGTACAGTAAAAGCACCTGGTTCGAAATGGTCATCACTTCGAGGCACATGCTTTGAGTCTCGACGAGTATGAATAAACCCTCCCATTGCGTCTCTGACCCGAACTATTGAATATGCTGCCATAGTACTTGAACTCGAAATGATTTGAAACGCACTCCGGTTGCGTTTGCTTTGTTGGGTGATTCTTGCCGTACCCAAAGCGCTGAGCAAGTTTCCCTTGACCACAGCTTCTTGATCTCGCCTTTCACGGTCATGGAGTTCATGAGTTTATATCGAGTCAAGCAATGACCGAACAAACAATTTGGAGCACGCCGAAGAGCTTCTTGCAGCTCATGTGTCTTGCATGATTGGTAAACCCAAACCCACGCCATAGATCCCAGCTGCTCCAACTCCACGTACAAGCCCGTAGATCACGAGCGCTCACGGTGGTCGTGCCCCTCCTCATAACGACCCGAATCCTAACCCGAATGGCCGGCACTGCCCCTCGCCAACCTCCCGCCAGAACGAGCTGCGAAAACAAAGCTCTCGCCATCAGCAACCAATACCCACGCAACAGTGCAGCCCGACCAGGGGGGGCAGACCCTATGAAAACAATCTGGCCAGCCCTCCTAGGCCAAAGTCGGCCCCACGACTACGTCGGCCTTGCAGCAATGGCCAGCTGGCAACAGGCACGACTAGTGCTTCAACGACCGCAGGCAACGCTCTTGATGTAGCCACGATAGACAAGAGGCATTATGCGCAAGCTGCCGGCGTTGGAAGTATATGTAGTACAGCAGCTGGCACAGCTCCCACCAGGGGTGGTTGGGTGGGTACGGCCAGAAGCATAGCCAGTCCCAGGGAAAGAGGTTGCCACGTGGAAAGTCGAGGTAACGCTGGTGCCGGGAAGGAGCAACGTTTCCTCGCTGTTCGCCCTAGAAACAATGCCAAGCCTTCCTTCCAGAAGGATGGCACTAGTTGCAGCAGGAGCACAATTTCCCCGTGCGCAGCAGCACCGGGAAAGCGGAGAAGGTCAACCCGTGGGGACGGCGACGTCGCCGGTCGAGGTGACGCAGAATCGGCTGAAGCGGCTCTTCTAGCTCCACGAGTTGGCGGGGAAAAGGGCAACGTCGCAGGTATCGAACTATTAAAAGAGACAAACAAATCACAGGAGCGCATCGACAATACGGCGCGGGGCGGCTGCGTCCACAGCAGCGACGACGGCGGCGGCTGCAGCGGGGATACTCGGGGTTACCACGTGACGAGCAGTAGTCGACACGATACGGCCCCGAAGGTGCTCTTGGCGCGCGAAACGGAAGCTGCGCTTAGGCGCGAGCAGAGAGTGGCGGCGGCAAAGGAAAAGGAAGAGGAAGGGCTACGTCTGTCATCCTCGTTCCGCGCCAAGGAGGTGAAGCAAGGTCTCGACTCTCTAAATCGAGTTCTTGAGACAATCAAACTGAGCAGTTCAAGGTTTGCAACTTTTGGCAGCTACTGACCTATCTTCAACAACGCTTTGTCGGCCAGATTGACACTTTTTCGCGTGATCAACACCTCTGTAGCCAGAGGCTCCCGAGGGAATCATCATTCCACCCTACCATTCCCGTTGAGCACGACCGATCACCGCACCGTTGTAGCGTTGATCATCACACCCATCCAGGAAAGACGATTTCACAAGCGGTATTTGGGGAATACTATCGTTGTGAAGATTGGTCGTGTAATTGCGAAGCCAGGCTTTCGCTTCCCTCCCCTATTATACCACTTGCCACCATGCCTCACGGTATTCCTCTGATGCTCCGTTATCGTTATCGTCCGCGTATTTTCAGCTGCATGCCACAAACGGCCCCGATTGGGCGACTATCAAGGCGCACCAAGACCTTGTCCGGAAGCAACGAACCAGAGATCGCGCCGCATTTCTAGCCGCGACGTCTTCCCTTCCCGCGCGCATGGCGCAACACGCTGCCATGCAGGCCGTTGCTGAAGATCGGGCCAGTGCCAACGTGCGCAGCGGAGTTCGGGATACGAATGGTGACAATGGCGGGAGGGGCTCGGTGGGTGGAGGGGCGGGAACGGTGGATCCGGGGGACATAGGGCGGGTGATGAAGAGACGGCAAGAGAGGCGAGTTTTCGAGAACCGCGGACTTGTCGCCCAAACCGCATATAATCTAGCATGTTTACCACCTCGCAGGAGACTGTTGACTACGACGATGGTGGGCAGACGGAAGTGCGTGTCCTATGAATACCCAAACACATACACGCTAATCGCGAATTCGAGTCAAGTACTATAGACCATAACTTCGGGAACAAGCCCTTGTCACCTGGATGAGAATGCATGATGATACTCAGTCGAAACCCCCTCACGACCGCAACGACGAAAGGTTCGCTGAGAGATACGCTGTTGCTCCGTGCTGCTAAAGCTCGACCGTCTCAACTCACGTGCCTTTGTTGCAGGTGCATTTGTTGGAGACTTCTGGCGTGTGTAAAGAGATGCACCTATCGGCGAAGGACTGGTGTTGTGTTTGGGCATCAACAAATCTCATATGCGATCGTGATTCAACTCGGTGATTCCATGTTTACACCGATACCGTGATGATGATGTGCTTCCTGCAAAAGGTGGGAAGCGTCGCTCGCCGCCGCGAAGGCTTGCTCTCGAGTCGCCGTAACCCGGCCCCTGACCCCGCCAATGGAAAAACGCCGCCTGGCTCAAGAGGCCAAGCGACGAGAGAAGGAGAACGCCGATCAGGTGAGCGACGAAGGTGGTGGCATCGTGGCATCGCAACAGAAAGGTTAATATGATTCACCATGAACAGTTCGCCAGAACGGGGATACTCTCCGTTTCTGGTGGAACTTCGGCTCGGCGGGGCGGGTCCTCTGTCGATGGAGTGGGAAAATGAAATGGGGAGCACCGCTTGGTTCCGTGCTGTGCGAACAAGTACGGCGCATCTGTAGGTTTCTGACCGCCGGGGTTACGGTCGTCATCGCTTGGTTGCCAGGACGTCCGAAGTCTGGCCACCTTTTGAACTTGCTAAGGAAGGCTCCGACCCTCGATACGTCCTCTGAATGAAGGTCACCCATCCTTGCAAAAGGCAGTAGCTGAGTCGTCCTGGTTTCACGTAGAAGCGACTGCCGTTGGAACGGCGAGCTCGAATCTCAGCTTATTTGTTCCAAGCGTTCCTCGGCGATCTACTCTAGGGCGACGGCTGATAGAAAACGATTCGCCTCCCTATACACTTCTGCCAAACCTTTGTCTCGTGGATATCACGTGTACAGAGCGCCAGAGAGGCGGCGGCGAATCAGCGGGTACAGGACGAAAGACAGCATTTTCAACAGCTCGTCGAGATGCTTCGGGCCACCGGGAGAACCTTTCGAGAGACCAAAGCGTCCGTGAGGAAGGCCCAGGAGGCACGAAAACAGATTGTTAAGGACCTAGAGGTAACGCTCGTTCAGCACTACAATGCATCCACAAAGCCTCTACTCCATTGATCGATCGATCTTGTCGCAGTCTTGCCAATATTTGTGCTGCAGTGAGCCATGCTTCAGGAACCAGACTTTCGTACTGGTCCGACCTTCTTGACGGTACCTTCGAGCGTTAGTGGATACGTCACCCTGAAGTTCTCCAACTTTTCGGAGGTAGTCCTCGACGTTCCGACGAGGAATGCCTGATACATTCCAACAGCTTCATCGTCGATGTATCGCGGACAACCTAGTCTGCGTGGTCTCGGATCGGAGTTCTTGGACTACGGAATGACAAGACGTAGGGAAGACGGAGAGTTTGAGGAATGTGTTGAAAACGGGATGACCTGAACAATACAACGCTGAATGATACTGACCTCTAGGATCCCCCCGCCCCTGACCCTTTCCCGATTGCTACGGCAATCAGCAAAAGGAGCGAGAGCGAGCGGTCGTGTTGGCGGAGGAGGTGCGTCGAAGAGAAGTCTCCCGCGCTGTCCGCGAGTACGTGGTAGCCTCGGAGGCTAGGAGGCGGGAGGAACACGGGGCTGGGCCTCCCCTTGAAGAGCTCGTCCAACGAAAAAAGGCACGAATCGCATCTACCAGTGCTGAAGATGCACGGTGCTTGACACATGGAAGTACAGACCGCCGTCACAAAGAAGCAACTTTCTTGTGCTTGTAGGTCGTTTTTGGGTCATGGCATCATTACGCACAGCCCGTTTCTTCCCCCCCCACCGGGGTCACCCAATCCGAACGAGGGGGGAGAGGTATTTGTTTGCTTTATTGAAACTGGGGTCTCCTAGGGCGAGTGAATAGGGATGTTGTAGGAGATAACGGTGGTTGGAATCGTGGTTGAGATGGTCATATCAATGGCATGATAACTAAAGCGTCCATTGTTGGGGAATGTCCAATAATCGTCTTGATAGCAGTGACGTTGTTGTTACCGTCGGCGTCTGGAACCACGATCAACCCCTTTTTCAGGAAGAGAAGCAGGCGGAGTTCCGAGAGAGGTGGAGGTTGAACCGATCGGGACTTCGCCTAGCTCTCCGCAAGCGGCCCAACCTGCTGGAGAGGCAGGAGAAGTTCGCTCAGCAGCACTCAAAACGGCTGGCCGATCAAGCCGCGGTGAGATTCCCCATGAATCAAGAGGACAGAACGTAACGCTCGTGCAGTGGGATTAGTCATGCCCTTGACGCGGAACTTAACCTGTTTTAAGACTTGCCAAAGAGGGACAAGAGAAACGCGAAGAGGCGGGCAAAAAACGGCTAGGGTGACCTTCTTATGTTGCTTGTCCATTTTTCATTCACGTCCACTGAGCCTGTCAATCACCGTCCACGGGCGAACACATGGGCGATTGTCAATAGGAATGTCGATTAGCCACGCCACATTATGCAAACACTACTCCAGACTTGAACACAGTTTCTCCTGGCGCGCTGTGGGGGGGGATCGTATACATACAAAAGGAGGTGGGTGTCGTTGACAAGGAGGTGAAAGAGAGATCAGTGGAGGTAACCTGATCCAACTTCTATTTTGGACACAAAGCAAGCTGAGAGTAAACAAACCAACCTTGTGACGTTGAGGGATGGGTGTTGGCGACAGGACGCCACAAGGAGGGGGCGAAGTTAGAGGCCTAAATGTTCATCGTGAACAATCTGGTCAGCTCCGGCATAAAACTCGACTGTATTCATTTAAATTTGCAGAGCGTCTTACCTAAGTATCTCCACTGAGTGTTGGTTCGAGGGGTCAGGGGGTCAAGAGGCCAAGGAAGGCAACAAACAAGTAAGTATGTATCTTCACCTCAATATCCAATCTGCCTCTACCGCACCACAGAGTGCCAGAGAGTTTTTGGAGAGCACGGAAGGCTTCGCTGCGGTCGGGCGGCGCACCTTGCCGGGCGGCGGAAAGGGATGGATGGAAAAGGCCGCCAGAGACAACACGTTTAGCTCGAACGAGAAGGCCGAGCTGGGCCTACCTGTTCTCGTCGAAGACGACGACAACACCAAAGGGGCCAGCGCCGACGGCATCGCCGTAACCGACCAAGACTTTGTCTTCACCGGGGCCGACAAAGACGCAAGCGACTCACCCGGCGGTGACAATAGTAGTGGCGGAGACCACGAAGCGCCATCGGGATTGCGGGGAGCGAGGGGCGACGGTGAAGCAGAAGTGGCGGCAGAAAAAGCTGCCATGGCAGAGGGCGGTGAAATGGCGTCATCTTCGAGGCCGGCATCCGCTGGGGCAGGGGGCAGTAGTGCTACTGTTAGCGCGCAAGTCAGAGACGGTGCTCGACGCCAAGAAGGCATCCCGATGCCGGGCAGGGGACTAGATGAGGAATCCCAGGCCAACAGAACGAGCAGGGCGGAGACGAACGACGGGTCTGAGGACGGGAGCGCAGGCAGCGATAACACCTCTCGAGGAGGACAGCAGTAAGGAGGCCCCGGGGCTGGTTCGGTGGAGAGAGTCGAAGATGCTCCCAGTAGAAACAGAGAGTATCCTGTGGACGGGAGTGCATGACGCACAAACACTGCTGCCGCACAGAATATTGTGGCATCTAATTTAGAGACTCACGGCGGAAACGGAGAATACGGGTATCATGTGTAAGAGAGAGATCATCTGGGACTTGGGACGTCTGAAGTGACATTAGACTTGGTCCATGCCGCCCCGCGAGCTGCGAAGGCCCGGCGGCTAATATTGTGCACAGCAATACAAGCATGGCAAACATGCAGCACGCTTGGCAACCCTCGTGCCCGGAATCGCGTTTTGATTGGTCAACATTTGGCGGACGCACTCTGCTCAGACGACAACTCTTGGGCGGTGGGCGCCGCCGCACATGCACGTCACACCAGGCTATTGTAGTGAGCGTTTGCCATCTATTCCACGTGCAACAACGCACGCACCGAAGATTTAGAAAGGGAAGGACTACGATGAAACCTCTAGGCACGCTGCTCAGACTCACGACACCAACGAGCCGCTGGACGTACAACCCGTGTCGTACATGCCAACACGAACACGAGGTGCTGTAGGCTTGTGCCTTTCAAGCTTCAACGTCTTCCTCTCATTCGTCAGAGCCCTCATTGGGCAGAACACAAAGGGCATGGCTATTGATACAGGCTTCGAGGAGAAGTACTCTAATACTGGTATATGATAAGACGAACACACGCTAAGACGACCCACGGGACCAGGAACAAGCAAAAAATTCGAACACAAAACGTCGTTGTGTTGGTACAAGGGCACCACACAGGTGGGGGCATACGGATGACATAGTACACATACCCTCCGGTCCAACCGAGGGCCGCTTCACACAACCAATACGCCAACGCCACCAACACGCAAGCAGTGCCACTATGGGCGTATGCTCTCGCCTCCTGTCTGCGGGACGGGCACAGAGAAGAGCGTCCGTTCAATACGAGACGAATGAAAAACCTTAAGCACCGCACGCTCACTCTCAAAACACACACACGGACGGCACAAGGCACAGCATGTCCACTACACCTCGGTGCAATACTGTGCGATAGTATCGACCCAAATCAAGTGACTTCTACGCCTGTCTAGCGCTGACTTCTCAGCACGGCGAGCTCCATGACGCACGGAACCTTGCCGGTGCTGTGATACTCTACACCCCAGACCCACGAATACGCGGGGGCCTCGGGCCTTCTTCCCATTTTCAGTCTTTCTTTGTCTCCATGACGGAGAAGACGGCGTTCTCTAGGGCCTCCTTGGCTGCGATACTCTCGGCCATGAAAGAAACCTGAATAACGAAAAGTTTGCGTATGTGAGGGGGGGGGAAGGGGGTATGGTAGCGACATCAGAAAACACGAGCAAGAGGTAGATAATATCGCACAACAAACGAAAACCATAACAGCGATGGCGACGAAAACAACAGCAACGATAGCAAAGAAAAAAGTGCTCGGCTACTGCCGTTGTCTCTCCCAACTGCCACTCCAACTACCACGATGCCTATCTCAGCAACAAAAATTACAGTAGCGGTAGAGTTGGTGACGGTTTGAACGTGTTGGAACCAATCGACGAGCGAGCATCTGCACCTTGTGCGGAAGACCGTCCGGGCTCCTGCCGAACACGCAGACCACCTTTCTCGGATCGTTCAGCTCCCTCGCCTCTAGCGGAGACAGGTGGGTAACGCCGGCGTGGCCCTGTGGAAAACCGCAATTTTGGTTGTTTCGTCCCAAGTCTCGACGAGTCGAGTCGAATTTCTGGATGCCAATAATTGTATCTCTGTAGCGACCGGAGGGACGTGCGACGGAAACTGTCTGCACGGAGGCATGCGATAAACCCAAGTACGCAGCCAGTGCACACCAAGTAGCTGCTCAGTTTTTCACATTGCTCGGGATGGTTTGGTACTTACACACCTTTACTTCCCGCTTCGCCGCGCTGGCTCAATGTTGGCCTCTTCAGGGTTGTCTGGCAGGCATCATGAACTTGAGCAACAAAGAGGTTTCGTTTAACCGGTAACATAGTAGCACTATCGTGCGGTTGACGACGCCAGCCCTACCGACAGAACCGACATCCCCATCAGCCAACAAAAGGCGTCGATCCTAGATAACGGGGACAACCACCACCACCACAACGCCGACAACGACGACCATGAAACGGTCATCACCTGCAACAGGAGCTGCCCTCTGGCCTTCTTCCCGTCGTCCAACTCCTTCGAGCTGCCCCACCACGCCAGACGGTGCCCCAGGACCACAACGTATCTGACAAGGAGTACGGTTACGGACACGGATAAGGGTTAGGGCTTCCTCGTTACACCACAGAAGCGACGGGCAGGCCGCGGGAGGGGCATGAGGATGATCCGCAAAAGTTTGAAGCCAACTTCGACACCATCTCACGCAGCGAAACAAATGACGTTGTGTACGGGGCAAAATAGTTGTTGTGCACCAACCGAGATTGGTGTTTGTGCAAAAATGAGAGGCGGGAGACCACAAGAAACGAGCGGGGTGCAAGGAAGGGAAAGGACGAGACAGACAACGAGGGCGGGGCACCGTACAGCGAACAAACGACCAGAAACAAGAAACAAGAACAGTCACGTGAGAGGGGGCGAGTGGATTTGAAAAACACCTAATCTAGGCTCTCGGGTCTGTGTTGGGTGGTAGACCACGCGCTCCTTTCCACACTGCTGCTGAGACCGAGGTGAGTGTCGACAAAATAACCTCCCTCACTACAGCCACGAGTTCCACACCAAGGAGTCAAGACAGGAAAGAAGGGAACGACAGATCGATCCGATTGGGTTCGCACCATCGTAGTGATTCAGACCTCCCAAGTACTATTTGCATTAAAAACTATCGTGACGAAAGCGCGTGAGATTCAGAAATCAAACCGACGTGAAAACAAGGACCGCTTGAATGAAAAATCCCTCGGGCCAGGAGAGCGCGTGATTGAGCAACAAGGAAAACGACATCCCGCCAGAAAAACAAACCTGGATTCCCAAGGGTCTCCAGCCCTATCTCGGACTCGCATTCCCCCTTCCCACTGCCTCCCTGCCCCGAGGAGCTTGAGCCTGGCCCTCTGCTCTCTGAGCTTGAGGCCGGCCTTTTCCTTCCTCGAGTGCTCCCTGGCTTCCCAGGCGTAGCACGCTGCCAGCTCGGAGTCCACCGGGAGGCTGGAAATACAAAAATAGGACAAAAGAAAGACAGCGTGCGGGGGCGGTGGCAGGCGGGCGTGAATCATCAGAAGTTGTACAATTAATGTGTTTATGCTATTCCATCCAATGATAACACCACTACGAGCAAAAACAGCCCTCCCCTGGGCAGGAGTGCCCTGATGAGCGCATTCTGCTGGTCGTCTTCCCAGATTGTCCAAACCCCCGTCTCACCTCAGGAGGAGGTTCCTGAGCTTGATGGCGAGGGGGGAAGGAGTCCCGCCGCCGTCATCCGCCACCAGCTCTGGCTCTTGACCGCCTGTCATCCACGCCTTCGAAAACTCCAGCAAGCCCAGGGTCAGCACGATGTAGCGGCCCGGTACCACCAATAGAACGAGCCAGGCGAGCGCTACGACGGTGTACACCAGGAGGGTCTTCGGAGGATGCGTCCAATTTAGCAGGTTTTTCACCGCCTGGTTTGGAGGGAACGGACGGGTAGATATATATGTGGTGTGTGTGTGGGAAGACCGTGGACACCGACAGCTACACTCCCTGCAGCTGTTGGAGGTACATCGTAAGAACAATTTTGCTGGAGGCGCACCACCTGGGAGACATGGGTAGAAAGCGAAAGACTAATGTTTACGCCCAGCAAAGACACGACACACAGGCGGGAGACATCAAAGCAGCTCTCAATAACAGACAGACACTCACCCGGGAAAACCGCCGGCAGCGCACACCTTCATAGAGGGTGCAACCTCCTCTTTTCGCAGGGTACTATATTTCCTATTGCATGATCATCGTGTACCCCATTTGGCAGAAGTGAGTTAGCCACTATGTAATCAAGGAGGGCTTCCGCTTCTAGGCGAGCCCCGGATGCCGGAAGGTACTGAGCAGAGATCGGAAAACTGTTCAACGCGAAGGCGACAATAACAACAACAACAACGACAACAACAACGACAACAACAACAACCTCCCCGTGTCTCTCTCTCTCTCTTTGCCTCTCGCCCACCTCCACCGTGTCCAGCACTGTCCCGATCGTATCCTGGACGTCTCTGATCGTGTTCCTGAACCCCATCGGCATCCCCAGCAGCCTCGCCACCGCACCGCCTCCCCCGGCTACCGCTGCTACGTCCCTCACGGCCTCCTTGCCCGAACCACCGCCCACACCCCCCGAAGGGCCCCCTGCCGTCGCGCCGCCGGATGATGCCGCGGCGCCTCCCGTGTCCCCCTTGTCCCCACCACCCCCTAGAGTGTTTTCCCCGAGCAGGGTTTGCAGCGCCAAGGAGGCTTCCTTGTCCTCCTCGGTGCCGCCGCCGGCGGCAGCCTTGCCGTCCGGGAGGGTAAGCTGCAAGCGAAGGAAAAGGGCGCCCATGCCGCCCCCGCCGCCGCCGTTGTCGTAGCTGTCGGTGATTCGACCGTCGCGCACGTGGTTGCTGCTGCTGCCGGTGTTGTTGGTGTCGTTGCGAGCGTTTCGGCCGTCGTCGACACCGCTCGAGAAGGTTTCGTTGGAGTGAGCTGGACTTGGCGGCGGTGCGGCCGCTGCTGCTGCTGCTACCGTCGTTGTTGCTTGAGAGACGAACTTGTCGTCGACAGGAGACACATCGAACCACCCTCGCAGCTGAAACGGTCGTCGGTCGAGGCAAGGGGCGACACGGTTGGGTTTGCGGAAGGGGTTGAGATAAGGGAACGTTTGTGAGGAGGGGGATGAGAGAGAGGGGAAAATTCCACCATCAAATACCAACAGATTCCTGGCAGCTAGCTGGTTGAGCAGCGTGGTGCACACGACTCACGCAGCGCTGAGGGCCATGAAAGAAGGCGTTCGCAATGCACCCCC